CCCACCCCACATACCACCCACATCCCCCCTTACTTCGGATGTCACCTTCCCAAGGGCCTGGCCAGGCCAGTCTACCTGCGATGCCTCCCCCTGTGCCTCTCTTCGTTTCTTTCCTTCTCCCCTCTTCTCTCTTTCTTTCCTCCATGAAGTTTTATTTATTGTCACCAGGTTTAGAATTATTAGAAAACCTGGTATTTACCATAAATTTTTTTTTTATGATTATTAACTATATTAATATGCCATGCATCCTGCCATATACCCCCTGCCCCAGTTCTGTTTTTTTGGCATGCCGGCATTCCAGCTCCTTACAAGGTAGACATGGTTTTTTCTGCACTCTGGCCAAAAATTGTTTCCTACCCCTGGCTTAGACAATGTGACAGTGTAACTTCTAGTTCCAAGGCCATACTACCCCCTCCCAAAAGGAATACTTCTGGAGGCAAAGGGAGGGACTTCCGGTGGCAAAAGGTAGGGGTTAGGGGACTGGACTTCTGGCCACAAAATGATGACCAGGGGCAGGGCAACTGTCAAGGGGTGAGGCTACCCATGCAGCCCTCAACAGCTTACCAAAATTCGTGAAGTGGCCCTCCAGCCAAAATAACTGCCCACCCCTGGTCTATATTTAGAAAAGCCAAAAGCAACAATAATAAAATGAAAAAAGCCTGCACTTACCTTGTTCTGGTCTTCTGGGGTCTCTGCAGTCTGTACTCCATTCTGCAGTATTGGTGCCTCAGCCACCCTCACCTGGGCACGGGCTAGTCCTAGGGCATTGGCAGGGTGAGGGAAGGCCCATCAGGGGACCATGCTGTCTGCATGCACCCCTGGTAGCCTTTTGCCCCTGAGAGAGAAACGGCCTTTGGCAACTGCTCCTGGCTGCTCTTATTCCCTCTCTGTAGCGGGGGTGAGCCCATCCACTCTGCCTGGATGGCCAAGTTTCCAATTGCCCGCAACTGTGGAATGCTCCCCCAGCTGGGGCTCTTTGTCATGGTTGCACCCTGCACCAGCTTCTAACTGGCTAGTGCAGCCATGACGCAGCTGCATCCATCTTGGAGCTGGGGAAGGGAGGAAGGGGGAGAGGATGTCCTGGGTTGGAGGTGGTTTGGACACACTCCTCCCGACAGTAACGGGGTCAGGTCCCATTACATGCTACCTCCTTTCAATTTATATGTGTTAATAAAAACAATGCTCATTTTCTCAGTTGATCAGCTTTCTTTCCTTTTCACACTGGTTCTTCAGTCACATTATTTCTTCCAGGGAAGATGGTATAGACAAGTTTTGAATAGCTAATGTGTGATTTTTATTTTATTTTTTTAAAGGTTTTCAGCCTTTCTTTATACCTCGGAAGGAGTAAAATAAAAAGATAAAAGCTCTTTCAGATCATGTTTAAAATCCCGTATTCTCAGGTATGCACCTCAATCTTGCAGTACAGCTAGTGAATTTTGCAAGATTTATCATACATTTTTTAGAATTGCAAACACTTTCTTAAAGTGGTTAAGAAATGTTGAACTCTGCTAATAAATCTTCTTCAAAAGCAGCAGATTTTTTTGAAAAGAACAAATGTCCTACAACTTTTAAATTATATATTTAAACCAGGACTTTGACAAAAAAATCTTTTTGTTAAATACCTCTATGAGCTATAACTTTGAAGACCTCTGATTCTTAGAATTTTTAGACTCCGAGCACCTGGCCATAACTTTTCTTGACGGCTTACCAAAATTCACCCGGCCATAACTTAGTAGCAGTGCTTCATTTAAAAAAAAATAATTTTACTCTTTTTTTTGTCTCAGCTTTTGGCTACGGAAAAATAAGAAAGCAATTCTTGTAGAAAACTGAGACCACAGCAGGTCAGAATGATTTTTGACATTATGGATTCCTCTGAAATAGATGATGTTTGAAATCTCTGGGTTTATCTTGTGAATCATATGTAGGTGTTTGTATACTAGTGCTAATATTGCATGGCGTCTCACACTCTTAAAAGGGTCTCACTACACTCCAGGTTGCCATGGCACCCCAGTTGAAAATCACTGATCAAGACTAT